ACGTGCTCGCGAGCCTGCTCGCACACCGCCTGCGTGCTCGCGTCCAGCTCGCCGCGTAACTACACTCACACATATCTTACTTCTATACTAGCTTTCGCTCAATGGGTGCAAATAAAAAAAAATAATACATATCCTATGTTACTCACTGACAAAATACCCAGTAGTTTTTGAGTTATTTCATTACAATCAAAGTTTCATCTTTATAATATATGAATATAGATTACTAGATGTTCGTCTGCGACTTAAAAATAATAAATAAATACAATTCTTTCCTCCCTTTCTATACTATTATAATAAAGCGTAAACACACACTTCTTTGTTGCCTAAGATGTCAGCTATTACAATTTATTTTCGAACAATTCTTTTTTTATAAAAAGCTACACTTACGTCACACTTTAGGCTATATATTTTCACGCCATTAAACTTAGTGAGTACATATTTTGGATAAAAACCCTAATGTAGGAAAGAGACCATAAGTTGCTGCCAACATCAAGGAAGCTAGATTGCTAAGGTTGGTCTTGTCATGTCATTTTGACATTAGCTATTGAAAATTTGACAAATGTTAACATTAAAATAAAATTTTCATAATTCAGTATTAAGTAAGCAATAAAATAAAGTTGTCATAATATGTGAATAAAGTTGCAAAGGAACAGTACAGTGAGTTACCTCAGCGATGAAATCTCTGACAGGTTCAATAAGGTCCTTGTTGTCAGCGGGCGCGGCGAGCGAGTGCGGCGCCAACACCAGCCGCTGCAGCGACTCCCCCGCACCCTCACCACTCTGGAATAACGTCAAAATGCCATCACATACAAGCATTTGCAGATAATTTTGTCCATGCTAAGTATAAAAATCGTGAAAAGAATGCCAGTTAGTGGAGACTAGATTTTGTCCGCGCTTTAATCTGCTTGGAATTAAAAAAAACAACAAAAATAAACAACCTATGTGTTCTTTACAGACCATACTCTACATCTATACCTAATTTCATTGTGATCGGTTCAGTAGTAGAGGCTACAAACTCTAACAAACATCCATCCATCTAAACATTCTCATTTACAATATTAGTAAGTAGTAAGATTCCAGTACAGTAGACTATCAACATCGGTTTATTATATTGAATACCTGGTTAGCATTAGACGGTTGTTCATCGCGGACTGCGCGCAGCACGCGGCGTACCATGTTAGCAGCAGCCAGCTCCTGCGGCAGCGCGCGTAATATCTGCCGCCCCACTGCACGGATTGTACTGCATAGCTCACTGGAAATATTAACATTTTTTACACTTGAAATAAGAAATTGAGTTAATTAGCCTATGGACTATTGTGTTTCCGATCTATTTCATAAAATAATATAAGTTTGAATTAAATAAAGCTTACTATTACTAGTAAAATCAAGGGAAAAACAAAAGGATGTGTGTGTTGTGTCAAGACTTTCATTGCATCAATGCATGTTGGTTTCTGGTGCTGTTAATACCAACATTTTGAGTAAATCCTCAATATGATTGTTATATATCTGACTAAGATAGCCCTAAATAACACTGACACACACTTCCATGCCATAAAGTTCCATTGTATATCTCTTTTTGATGGTCTATCATCATTAAATAAAAGTAAACAATATATATACTTACAAAGCAGTGGGGTTCTGGGAATCACTTACAATCTGCTCTAACAGTGAAACAGTAGCCATTGCTATGTTTAAAGATCCCTCTAGCTTTCTGTTCAAAATACAAACATCGTATTAATAAAATACCTTTGAATTAGATATACGATTAACATAAAAATTGGTAGAAACGTGGTGATAGTAGCGTAGTATAGAAATATTATGAACTTATATATTAGAACATTTTAAGTAATATCTAAAGCTATGCCACGACTTACCCATTTCTTATGTCTGATACATATTTAACAATAAGTTCCTCGCATTTCTCGTCGAGTTCTTTACCCGGACCTTCTGATGGTGGCATTTTATTGTTTGTCTTAATTTTCATTCATAAATTATCAATTTAAATAATATTTTTGTAAGGATGATGAAATATAACCTATATTTTGATGTTTTGAATGGGAAAAAACTGATAATGACATTGACATTTCATGGTGTTATCACTTTTCAGTTTTCCTTTATTCTTTTTTAACTGTTCCGCGTTCTTAACCTTTTGAAAAATGAATTATAACTTGTGTTCCCGTTTGCCATTCGTGCTAGTGAGGGCGATTGTAATAAGTTCACACATGTAGGGTTTTTATTACACTTCAAAATAATTTGATTTATTAAAAAATTCTTGAGTAATAAGATATTTTCTTTTGGGAAACAGAACGAGTATCCGAACAAAAAAAAACAATCTTTCAATCATATGTTATCTGTCATCTGTCATTTCTCAGTGTTTCGCATTCAAATCGATATTCTTGATTATATTTTAAATACAATATTAACTTAATGCTATGCAAATTTAATGTAAGAATTTATTTTTTGAATTTGGAGAGGAACTTTAAGGTGTTCTTGGTTGGTGGAGGGACGATACATTTAATAGAGCGCTTATAAATCGATGTTACAGTGGCAAAAAATTTCTTGTAACGCTTGAACGGATTTTAGTTACGGAAATGAGACTATTTGTGTCGGAATTGGACTGAAATCGATCGTGATGGATTTATCTCCAGATGAGGATAATTTCCAAGGACGGCTGCTGCATCAGGTACTGTCGGAAATAGGTTCAAAATAATTTATAACTTAGATACAGATTATTCGGGAAACTGTTTATATTTTGACAAAACAACAATGAATATAGTTTAAATTGCGGCTGTAAGCTCTAGGAATATGCACGCTTAAGCAAATATCTATCCAACTTTAAATTATTATTTTAATTTTAATATATGCATAAATATTTTATACTTTTCTGTAGTTTGGTTAAGTGCGAAATTTTTTAAATTTATTTATGTCTACAGTCAAATATAATGGACCTTTGACTTTTATAAAATGAAAAATAATGTTTATGGTTTAGCACTATTTTATTTTATTGAGAACTTTTATGTTAAAATTGATTTTTTTTAAACAGTCAGAAGAAATCACAATAAATCGACATAGAAATGGATATATCAAATTTTCATATGCTTTAGTTTTCTTATAAATATTAAAGGAAACCTTTAGATTTAAAGGTTGTTCACCTCAGAATGTAAAATAATTTTATTAGCAATGTAATACATGAAATTCTTTGCATCCTTAATTTTAAATTATCTCAGAATGTGTATAAACAGTAAAAAACCAGTCACATAAGTTAACAGCAAAAGTCACTTAACATGTGCTAAAGACAATGATAAAGGTTTCAAATCAATTTCAAAAAAAGACCCAAAGGTCATTCACAGGGTGTTGTGTAATTGAACATTTTTAGTTTTTTATTTTATCTGTTCTTGCTTAAGGATATATTAAAACAGAAACAGAATAACATTAAATAAAATAATACAAACCATAGACAAAATTATAATTTAACAGTTTTGTAATTAAAAAGTTACATATTAAAAACATTCTTAATAAACTTTGTCATAAGTACTATGATGAGAGAAACTTCTAAACATCTGCAACTTAGTTATAGCAGAATTTTTTTTTTCATCAAAAAAGGCACAAGTAGTCCTACCTAAATTGTTGGTTGTACAAAGTGGTCTTCATAGCAGCTACTAACAACCTTGATGACCTAGGTCTTTCTTGTAATTGTTTTCAAACCTATATAACATTTTTCAAGACACAAGGGTCTATACCCCACCCCAGTCCCCCCTTGCTACGCCCCTGTATTCGTCAATAATATGACGTCACAGATCAGCGACTATAAACAACTAACCTCTGTATTGTAGAGGTTAATGATGTGCATGATTAGACAGCACATAGCTTAGCACAGCATATAGCTTGAACTGATGGGTGTCAGGCAGCACTGTGGGACAACGAGCAGCTGCTGCGGGAGTTACTGGCGTCAGGCGCGGCAGTGGACGCGCGGGATGCCAGCGGGCGCACCGCGCTGCACGCCGCTGCACTGGCCGAGCGCAGCGCCTGCCTCGTCGCGCTGCTGGCCGCGGGCGCAGACGTGGATGCAGTAAGCGACGCCGCTACTGGCAGCAAGGTACGCTTTATGCTATAGCTACTAGTTAATACAATAATAATACTGTCTAGATAAAGATTAGAATGTCTAGAAGTGATAACTTCGATGTGGGATTCTGTACTGTCAGAGATTATTTAAAAACTAATTTGAAAGTCTTGCGTCAGTCTCGCCTACTTATTGTAGGCGTGTGATTGCTTGAAATGTATTGCTCAACGAAATAATTAAATGCTCCATCAATATGTTATATTTTATTTGTTATAAAGATTCATAACACTATTTTACTAAGTTATTTCTTTGTTTTTATATTTATAAATACACATATAATTATGTTATAGTGATGAAACAAAGCAATATTTATTACTTCACGTGTGCTCGCTTGTAGACGCACAGATTACGCACGTGTATACTTACGCACGCTTGTACACTTGTAGCCAAAATAATTAATACAAATAAATTTATTATTACACTAGACACGACATTAGTTATGACATAACAAGCAACCCTCCAGTCACACATGACCTTGAGACATACGGGAGACTGAACATACTTTTTTGAATCCACCCTTTGACCATAGAAGTAAGAAGTCGTATTACTTTTTATAATACTTGTGTAGTAAGGCCTTGGCTCAGGGTCGTCACTTCCTTATCAACATCGGAGGTTGTAGTTTAGTAACCCTGTCCGCCAGAGTGCACTTTACCGTTGCAATGGGTACTACTAATTCGGTGCGTCTTGTAAATTTTATAACGTTTTTGTTAAATTTGTGTTTTAATATTTGTCATGTAGACGGCGCTGCACGTAGCTGCGGCTCGCGGGCACGCGGAGAATGTGCGCGCGTTGCTGTCAGCTGGCGCGCGGCCTGATCTGACGGATGCTGGGGGCGACACCGCGCTGGCTTTGGCTGAACGCGGCTGTCACAGACACGCTGCGAACGAACTTAGAGAAGCTAGAGGTAAATGTGACTTATCGAACCATTAGGAAATAAGGAATGAGACGCACATAACATTACAGATTAAGATGTGAAGTTGAATTTTTCTGCAGCAATAAACATGGATTTTAACGGCGTTTCCCGTCCAGTTATAACGTGGGTGTCTTCAAGAGCAGTGTGAATCGGTACTTACAGAAATAGCGCGTACCATCCTTCAACCGTCACTTTAGTTTAGATGGGATCGTGGCAAGCGTTGGTTTATAAATGATGAAAAAATATGGTTGACATCTTAAACGTAGACTGTCTTGTATTATAAGTGATTGGTTTCCCAGCTACGTTACCATTCGTTATTGTTATTGGTTCGATAATTTCGTGAACTACATTTTTTTTGAGTTTTGTTGAAACTTAGGTTAGTCAAATAATGAGTTGCTACGTAATGACAAAATAAATGGAAACTTCCAAAAACCAGTATTAGAATGATTAGAGCTAGACTTTCTAGTAACAGACTTAGCAACATTAGTGTAGTTTAGTAGTTTTTAAGTGGTAGTGTCCGCTTTAAAATCTTAGCACTGCAGGGCCGGCACGCCCGATGTAATACCACGACCACACAGAAGACAGGCGTGAAATGGAAGCAATTCCGTGTTTCGTCTAATGAGTGTGGTGCCGGAGGCCTAATTTAGGTCCCATACTCTTTACCATCCTTTTCTTATAAGGACAGGATGGGAAGAAGAAGTGGATTTGACGGTGGAGGAGATGCATAGGAAGGGGAAATGTCCTCTTTATGTGCGTCTCCTCCTCCGTCGGATAAGGGTAGGCAACGCATCTGCAATTGCGGATGTCTACAGGCCGTTTGCTCGTTCGCCACCTTATGTTATAAAAAAAAAAATTAATACAGATTTCTTGTGCAGCGTTCTCTGAATTAATCGATACTCCGTGAGGTCCATTAAACGTGTCTTAACAAAGCAATAAAATGTCATCGACACATTATCTTGTATTGGGCAATATGCGATGAGTCATGCATCAGAGATCGCTTTGGTTTTGAGTAAGGACCCGCACATATGCGTTGGTCGAGTGCCAATAAAGTTTAACTTACTATCGGGTTCCGGATTATTTTTTTATTTGGAACTTAAGATTCGATTTAGAGTTACTAGTTTGCAAAAATGGTACGGAACGTTAACAATTTATTATTTACCAGCTGTTGACCGCAACTTCGTCCATGCAATATTAAGATAAAAAAGTAGCCTATAATATGCCCGTCTACGTCAGCTACCCTTCAGTGAGTCCGGTCGAAATCGGCTCAGCCGTTTCGGAGATTACCCGGAATAAACGCGGCTTGAGGACAGACAGACAGATAGAGAAAAAAATACGATATTCGTTATCAGCAAATACATCATCTTGCCGAAATCTGGAATTTTTCTTTCGATATTACAAATATACGCACCAATTTCACTATATGTATAGTAGACTAGCTTTCGCCCGGGACTCCGTTCGCGTGGAATTAAAAGAAAACAAAAGTGAGTAGCCTGTGTTCTTCCAGACTATCCTCTACATCTATACCAAATTTCATCTAGATCCTTTGAGCAGTTTCGTCTACAAACTCTAACAAACATCCATCCATCTAAACTTTCGCATTTATAATATTAGTATAATTAATATTTTTCGCCACTAGCGATGTGAATAGCCAACTTTCTAAAGCGTATATCGATTATCTTGTACTTGTTGGATAACTTTACGTTTTAATCAATAAGAGGGTTTTCCGCCCGAGCGCACGGAATCCCACAAAGCCGTAAAATCGGCCTCGTCGTCGGCGAAATTAAGTCAGTTAACAGGTTTACGAAATTTACGTAATGGCGGACAACGGGGCCACGCGGCCGTTAACACAACGTACATTATGTACATATATAGTATATGAAAATATATAATAACTATAATACGTGAGCTATAGACACGGAAAGTGATTTTGTGCTAGAGCCGTAAGCTAATTTTTTTTTAGTCTAGAGGTCATCACATATAACATCACAAAGAGTACTCTTACAACTCCCGGTAAGATTGACGCCATCGCGTGGAATTGTGTTGGAAAAAATGTAATCTTACATAAAATTGTAAATGCGAAAGTTAAGTTGGATGGATGTTTTTCAGAGTTTGTAGCGTAAACTGTTGAACTGATCTCGATGAAATTTGGCTTAGATGTCGTATAGAACACATAGGCTACTTATTTTTGGTTTTGCGAATTCCACGCGGACGGAGTCGCGAAAGTCTAGTAAGGTATAAAAGGTAAAACAGCTACAGTACGAAGAGAATTTTGAGACAATTTAACATTGACAAGAATTAGTGAGCTATCGAAATGTAATTTGGCTTATGCCTATCGTATGTCTGTCAGTCTAAACTACTTGTTTACAAACTTTTCTCGTGGTCACCTTGCAAGATTTTAATGGTTTCGATGCTCCGACGATACTCATGTGGGCCTCTGAGTGTGGGTTCTGGTCTATACTTACATTCGTCAGTCCCAAGTTATATTAATAAATAGGTGAAAGAGAGTAGATAAATATTCGTTATTATCAAGAAATATCAAACACAGTTCAAAATCTGAATCTAGGCAGATGCAGGCAATTTTTTTCAAGCATTCTTGATTTCCTGTATGTATATGTTAGAAAATAAGAAACTCATAATGCGGTTATGTGGCGAGTGGCGCGAAGTCTGTCGCTACTGTTTACTACATACGCTTTCTGAGTTATTATTTAGTGAAGGCCATTGTACCAAAATTAATTTCGACAAATATCATAAATTACAACTTTCCCTCTCATTTTACTTTATTACTGATTTGGAGGTAAATGTAATTTCTAATCTATTATTTTTAAGTTGTAATCTTCTTTATTAAAAGTTTCGTGCAATAACACCTGTTATTTGTATGGAAGACAATAAAAATCGTTTCTTTAGTTCGAAAGCACCACACAGTGCACTTGTATCAAAAAGTCGATAAATCAGTTCTATATTGCACATCACTATATCGCGCACCACACTGCAAAACATTAGTACTCACGGCGCGGTGGCGCGCTATGCGCGTGTTTCCCGCCATTTTTAACGTCAACAGTTTTTTTTAAACAGTGTTTGTTTTATTACATGCCAGTGTTATATAGTGATATAAATAATTGTAAACAACAAAATTTGCATTTTATGTTTAAAATATAAATTTATTGCAGTTACTAGAGTATAAAATAACGAATTTTTAGATATATCTAGATCTGTGAATACATCTTTTTAGTTTAGTGTTAAAAATATTGACATTTTGTTTAAATTATGTCACATGTACATCACTCATATTTTTATCTATCCACTAGCTGTTGTTAGCGACTTTGCCCGCAGGATTTTAAAACACAATATTAAAAATATAGCGTATGTTACTCACAGATAATGTAGCTTTTTAATTGTGTAATATTATTTCAATGCATACAAATCTTTCCTCTTTATATTGTTAGGATAGATTAAATAATATTTTTTTTTGAGCCCAGGATAAAAGTAAAACACTACACTATAAGTGATTGCAGTTTTTTTTAATAAGATTATATATGTCCTCCAGTAATCTCAGTAACGTAATCTTTTTCTTTCATACATTTTTGACTCTGTATAAGAGAAAATCATTTGTTCATTTAAAACCTTGCAATCATGCTTATAATTGGCGTTATATCACACGAAAATATAATTTTTATTACTTTATATTTATATAAACCGTTGAAATAAAAAAAAGTTGCTTTTTACTGACATTCGTTGTAAATGACGTTTGATGACCCCTCTGATGTCAATTCGCTAAGTGCGTTTGTCTGATACAAGAAATGTATGAGACTGTAAAAAACAAATCATATAAAGTTGTCTAATAAATCAGGACAACGTAGACTTAGAAATTAAAAGTTAATTTAAAACTATTACTTTTAAATATGACGCGATAAAACTAATACGTTTCCCGCCTAAATGTCACCTGTCAAAAATACAGAGTAAATAACAGTTTAAAAACAATCAATTGTAAACAAGTAATAAAAATTTACGCAAAAAATAAACGGAGATTATTTCCTTAGCCTAGCAATATACATCTAGAGTAGGTATTAGGTATATGATATCGATTGTAGCAAAGGGTGCGGCATATAACCGGTCTCACCCTCTACCTGAATACAATTCGCTTATTTGAGGAATGTCGACGTAATATACAGAACAGCAGGTGCTGTCTAGGACTTGCATATACGACGCTTTATGTGTATTTGGTGCGATCGCAGGAAATACATAATTAACGGCCTCTTTTGAACCACAATTAACTTGACCTCATTGAATGCGTTATACTCTTGTTATGAATTAACAAGTTTAATTTACTTATAGCATAAATTCACATTGACATTTAAGAAATATCCGTTTTAAAATATGAATTCAATTTTTATATCAATCCTTCAGGTAGTGACGATAGGAAAATTTTTATAAACAAAATTGTAAGTAAAAGTTATATGACATTTATATGACCTTGGTGAATTCGGCGCCAGAGAATCATACCTGCTAGATAGGGCTGACACTTTTAGGTTACCGTAGGTACTACGTATTTTCGCACGGGCGGGAAGACTGGAGAATAAAAAATCTATACTCTATACTATTATAATAAAGCGTAAACACACACTTTTTTGTTGCCTAAGATGTCAGCAATTACAGCATATTTTTAAATTATTCTTTTTTTTTAATAAAAAGCCCTACTTACGTCATGCTTTAGGCTATATATTTTCACGCCATTAAACTTAAGGAGTAAATGTTTTGTATAAAAACCCTAATGTGGGAAAGAGACCATAAGTTGATGCCAACATTAAGGAAGCAAGATTGCCATAGTAAGGTAATTGGTATTTTGACATTTGCAATTGAGAATTTGACATGTGTAAACAATAAAATAACGTTTTTATAATTTTATGCTCGTGAAGTCGCACGCAAACAGCTAGTATAGATATAAAATCACTCGGAATACAACTAATGACCTACTTTCATCCCCTTCCCCCCTA